TGGATGGATGGATGGATGGATGGATGGATGGATGGATGGATGTCTAGGGATCATCCCTCCCCCATGCCGCCTCTGGCTACACCCAATTACGCAAACCCTAATAACCTGTTTGTGTGTCTGACTCCCCCATTAGGCTGCTGGTTCTTTGATAACTGCTTTGAGTTTTGTTCGTTTCTGTCCCCTCATCTTCAAGCATAAGATCTAGATAAGACTAGCTGCTCAGGGAATGTGTGTTTAATTGACTATAGATTCACACACACACGTGCACACATTGCTACCTACAAATGGACAGCACTAAGAGACACTGTTCATGAACCACGTCGCTGCGATGGAGAGCCCTGCTGCTCACGATTGGCAGGGCTGGCTGGCAGCAGAGCCAGGAATCCCAAGTTCAACGCTGGCATTCAGTTCCTAGAAACCTTTAAAAAACATCATTCAAACAAGGGAATTATTAACACACTCAGACCCTCAATGAGCAAGAAGTGAGGTAGCAGCTGTGCTTAAAATCACCCAAAGGTTATTGCTACTAATGTGAGAAAAGGAGAGAAAGACTTTTCCAGCCTTAGCATTTGAAACAGACTTCGTAGGGCAATTATTCCACTTTTGCAAGAAGGGGGCTGTCAGGAATTATGGGCAATTATCTCTTCCTAAACAAAAATCCAATTAAAAAAAAAAATCATTATAAATACTACAAAGAGGAGCTGAGGAAACAAAATCATCCTTTTGCATTATTCATTGCAACCAATTTTATTTTAATGAAATCGACTAGGTTCCATTACTCTGGGCTTGGACATAATCTTTGTTACAAGGAGACTTCAGCTGTAACTAAATTTGCCATAATGAGATCAACTCACTGGAGAATACAGGGTCGGGGAGGGGTGTGTGTGCGGGCTGGGTGCAGGGCCAGGCGGGGCGGCCTGGAGGGCTGCAGAACAGTCTCCTGAAGTCCCCCTCGGAAAGCAAGTGCCTAGACATCCTTCACACACTGTGCCCCATGATGCACACACATGTACACACACACAAACACCCAGACACGCGGCCTGTGTAATTCTGAGGAAGACTGTTCATGGAGTGGAAACTAGCTCCCATCTGACAGCAGAGCAGAGGAGGGCGAGGGAGAACCACGACCCTCATTGCCTTGTGCAGTGACCAGAGGAGGCTGGTGGCTCATTTTCACCCTGTCAGGGACTCCAGCAGAGAAGGCGATGGCTTGAGAGAAGGAGCTGGGAGGTACGTAGATGCACCTTCCCCCTCCACAATTAAACTCTCCTACTCCTCCCTTGTGCACACACATGCACACGCACACGCGCACACACAGACACAGACACACATAAACTTTCCTACAGGAACAGACCATGTAAAGAGCCCGGTTCCAGATAGTGGGAACCAAAGCAGGTACAGGAGAGCAGGGGAGGGGACCGGTGGTTATCCAGGTCCCCAGCCACCATACTGAACTCTCTTGTACATCTCACAGCCTGTCCCCTTGCCATTCCTCAAGCTAAGGATTGTTACCTACCTTGGAGAAACCGAGAGGGGGAGTGACTTCCCCAAGGTCACATAACCTATAAGTGGAGAATCTAGGATTAGGAATATCTCATGGAAGGTAACAGCAGAAGTTTAGGACTATGTGGTCATGTTTCAGCATTGGACGTAACTGGATTCCTGGATAGTATCCCTGGGAAACAAGCAGAAAGAATCGTTAGTGTTGTCACTGTGCAGACCCCATGAGATGCTTGAATTTTCCTCTGGCAGGCTCACAGTCACTGCCCACAGCTTTGAGTTCAGACGCTTCCACCCCCTGTCCAGGTGGCCCAGTTTCCTGGTCCCCTCCTGCTCACGAGGCATTCATGAACTTGGGCAGTGATGAAATGACTACAGTTGTTCCCATTTTCTCTTTACAAACCAGTTTTGTCCACCCTGCCTTTCCCTGATGCTGTGAAAGTGATAAATGCAAGTGTCTGAGTTATGTGCTAGAGGAAAGAAACCCAAAAAGGCGAAAGACCCAACCTCTGACCTTGTCCGTGTGCAAGACGTGGGCATGAGAGATCTACGGAGGGAGTAACTCTGTCGGGATAAGTTGGCAGGTTCTCACCCTGACTGCTACAGAGCAACACTCATTGCGCTATGGGTCTAGAAAGTGGATTAAAGCTTCATTTTCTATTTCGTAGAAGCCCTCCACTTCTAAGTTTCTGATCTCTCTCGTCCACTCTCCTCAAGCAAGATCCCAAATGTGGTTGGGACTAAATTACTCCACCCTGAACATTTAGTCTCATATCCAAGTGTTATCACCAGTATCCAAACTCCCTGGTTGTGCAAATTGGGCTGAACATCCTATAATAGGAGACATTCTTTGGATATTTTGGCCGTGTACCTTCCTGGCCCAGCTGGAATTCAAAAAGTCCTTGAGACAGAACGAAAATGGAAACGAACCCAAGGAATCGAGTTCTCTCTCTCCCGGGAACCTCGGAAGTGGATTGGTTTAAAAGCGCTTTTGCAGAGATCTTGTCCTGTTCTTACTGTGTCCATGTTTCACAAATCTGCCGGACGGAATGCGATGTAGATATTCCTCATCCTGCCCCCACCCCCAGCATTTGTACCAGAGCCCATTTCCTCTTCTCCCAGCGGGCACCTCCCTCCTCCTGCCATGGCCTAAGGAAGAACTGCAAACACTGAGACTATCAGGAATGTGCAGTGTTCTCCCAGGAATTAGGGACCTTCGGTCAACCACCCAGTTTTCTTGGTTAATCCTTTAAGGCTAAAATTTAGACAAGCCTTTCCAGGAGAGTGTTTTCAGGGCCAACATAAAGCAACCCTTTCTAAGAATGAGACCTATCCGCAGTAGGACACAGGGCCTTGTGACTTCGCTCCCGCCAGGAGGTGTTCAGCCCAGGGTGACTGAACAGGAGGTGCCTGCCTTGGGGACCTACCTAGGCATCCCCACTTCCTTTGCAATCTCGTCTATGACTTTGTCTTACATTAGCCCCTTAGTCGGTACATCACGTCGGTCCTTTGACGCTTCACTTTGGGTTGCTTTTCCTGTTTCTTGGCATGTCTGTAATACGTGATGCCTCTGTTACAATGCGAATCATGATTTGCCTTGTGTTATAGCCATTTGTATTAATTCATTTGA